TTTTTTTTTTTTTTTTTTTTTAGTTTAGTTGTTTGTTAGATTAGTTGTTCTCTTGGATGAATTTAAGGGTTGAATCTATATTTTGTAGTGTCTTCATTTACAAGTAAATTTAGATGCTTTTTTTAATTTGTTCGGGTTCATTGGCGTGATAGATGCATTTGCATATGAAAACTAAACTGCCTGCCTGCTAATGTTGACTTTAGTAGTTGCTTTTCCGGCTTTTGATGGGTGCCGAAGAAGCAGTAGTGAGGGGACAAATGGAATCCACAACTCATCTTTTCCTTTTTTTCCTTTATTAAATGTAGAGTATATATAAACATCCAATGTGGGATGGGGGTTGAGGCTACACCCCCGACCTCTGAATATAATAGCCCAGAGAGGGCTAAAAAGTCAATGGTCTACATCAATGTCGAAGGTACATAGAACAACATCAAAACAGAGAAACAAAAAAACAAAAAAATACAAAAAAAATACACGGATCACTAAATATCCAATGTGAATCTAAAACCAAATCCTCATAAAAGGTCATCCTGGTTAGAGTGACCTGACATGAGGTCCAAAATGACGAGATCGTCCAAATTTGAAGGATGCGTACTCTAGCTGGTCCATCCGAATGAGCGTCTGAAGCCGAAAGAGAATGTCCTCAAGATGAAGTGTACGTCTCTGGAGTATAGATGGCCCCGTGCTAGCAAGAAAATCAGCAGGCTTATTATATGTAGAGTAGTAGATTGATGATTGTGTACTCAACTACACACACACCAAGTTGGTTAATTTTTCTTCAATAATGCCTTTTTTTTTGTAGTATAAATTTTAAAATCACCCACTATATATTAATTATTGGACATGAGATGAGGAACTAATGATAGTGTTTTGTTTAATGATTATATATATGATAATATTTTTTCAATATACATTTTTATTCAAATGTCGTATTTTAAAATCTAAAATACAAGTAAGTTTATAGCACATTAATTAATTACCACTATAGAAACTGTTGGAATATGTATATATTGTGTATGTGAGTGTTGAGTAAAGTGAGTGGTGTGAAGATGGCTAGATTAAGATTTTATTTGAAGGAGGTCGAAACTTTTTATTTCTCATCTCATCAATTCACTTTACATCACACATAGGGTATTTATAGGCAAACTTGGAGGAAGGTGGAAGTTTCTAGTCTATGCCACATGATTCATTTTCTTAGATTTTTCTACACAAATCTATTCTACATAATTCTACGCTTGCCATAATATCTTTTCTTAGATTATTCTACATAAATGTAATCTACCACATTCTAGATAATTCTTTAAATACAATATTATAATTTATAAATCAAGTTTATTTTTCAACACCCACTCTTAAACTTGATTTGTCATCCCGAGTAAACTTCTGAGCCTTGTAAAATCTCCATACATGAGGGGCTTGGTAAAAATGTCAGCGATCTGGTCTTGTGATTTGACGTGCTCCACTTGAACATCTTTTTTTGAAATGCATTCTCTGATGTAATGGAAGCGTGTGTCTATATGTTTGCTCCGATTGTGAATCACCGGATTCTTTGCTAGTGCAATTGCCGACTTGTTGTCCACAAAAATTGTTGTTGCCTTCATTTGTGGCCACCCAAGCTCATTTAGCATGTTCCTTAGCCAGATTGCATGACAAACGGTGGATGTGGCGGCTACATATTCTGCTTCACATGTTGACAATGTGACAATCGATTGCTTCTTCGACATCCACGTGAAAGCAGTATCTCCCATAAAGAATACAAAGCCATTTGTACTTTTCCGATCATCATTGTCTCCAGCCCAATCGCTATCACTATACGCAACAAGTTCGTAATGATTAGTATGTGAATAGAGTAGGCCATAGTTGAGCGTACCACTCAGATATCGAAGAATTCTCTTGGCCACCTTGAGATGTGTAGTGGTTGGATTTTCCATGTAGCGGCTCACGACTCTGGTTCTGTAGAGAATATCGGGTCTTGTACATGTCAAGTATCTCCTCCATTGTGCTTGGATAACTTGTTTCCGCACTCTGTTGGTGTATTAATCGGCTTGCATTTTTCCATATTGAATTTCTTGAGGATCTCTTTGGCATATCCTTCTTGAGTGATAAATATTCCATTCTCAAGTTGCTTGACTTCTATACCGAGGTAGTACGCCATGAGGCCAATGTCGGTCATCTCGAACTCTTTAGTCATCACTTTCTTGAACTCTTCAAATATCCTTGGATTATTTCCTGTGAAGATAAGATCATCTACATACAAGCACACAATTAAGATATCTTCACCTTTGATCTTGACATAGAGGGCATGCTCATGTGGGCATTTGATGAACCCATTCTCTTCCAAGTATTTATCGATCCTTTTGTTACATGCCCTCGGTGCTTGCTTTAACCCATATAGGGCCTTTTTCAATTTTAGAACCTTATCTTCTTGTCCCTTTACCTCGTAGCCCAATGGTTGCCTGATATAGATTTCTTTGTCAAGATCTCCATTTAAGGAGGCCGATTTAACATCCATTTGATGAATCTTCCATCTATTTTGAGCTGCAAGAGAAGTTATTAGTCTAATAGTTTCTAGTCGAGCAATAGGAGCAAATACCTCTTCATAGTCAATTCCTTCCCTTTGGTTGTAGCCTTCTGCGACGAGTCTTGCTTTGTATCTTTCAACTTCTCAACTTGAATTTCTTTTTATTTTATATATCCACTTGACTCCAATAGCTTTGTGGCCTTTAGGGAGAGTTGCAAGCTCCCATGTATTATTCTTCTCGATGGCTTTGATTTCCTCATCCATCGCATCTCGCCACTTTTCATTTTGCTCAACTTCCTCAAAGGTTACTGGCTCACAATCAGCAAATAGACAAAAAAGTGTAAGATCTTCTAACCTTTGAGTGTCTTCATAGACCTCGTGAAGACTTCTTTCACGTGGCGTGATTCTTTCATTTAAGAAAGATGGTGGCGACTCTTCATTGCTTGGCCCAGGTGAGCTTGGTGGAGTCACATGTTCCTGCTCGATGTCTCTTGTTTGCTCTTCCATCTTTGATTCTTCAAACTGTGGAATGTAATTGAACTCCTCGTTGGAAATAAGATCCCATGTTCCTTCTTTTTCGAACTCCACATCTCGATTTATCACGATCTGTTTAGTATCAGGATTATATAACTTGTATTCTTTAGAGTTAGAATCGTACCCGATAAATATGAAGACCTTGCTTTTGTCGTCGAGCTTTCTTCTTTTCTCGTCTGGTACATGTGCGTAAGCTTTGCTCCCGAACACTCTCAAGTGAGCAATCCCGGGCTTTACACCACTCCAAGCTTCTAGTGGAGTCTTTCCCCAAACACTCTTTGTTGGAGATCGATTGGATAGATACACCGCACATGCAACCGCTTCGACCCATAATTCATTAGGAAGATTCTTTGTCTTAAGCATGCTCCTCGCCATTTCGAGAATGGTACGATTTTTTCTTTCAACAACACCATTCTGTTGGGGGGATCTTGGGACTGTCAGTGGCCTCCTAATTCCATTTTCTCGACAGAACTCCATGAACTCCTTCGATATAAACTCGCCCCCTCTATCAGTCCTTAAGGCTTTATGTTTGATGCCACTTTGCTTTTCGACCATGACTTTAAATTCTTTGAAGGCCTCTAATGCTTCGGATTTCTGCTTAAAAAAAACCCCATGTTTTTCTAGAAAAGTCATCAATGAAAAGTAGAAAATAATTACTTTTACCAAGCGAACTTGGAGCTATCGGACCGCATATATCTGCATGAACTAGCTCCAATGGCTTTTGAGCTCTTGAAAGTGACTCATTCGGGAATGGTTTCCTAGACTGCTTCCCAAGTAGACACCCTTCGCACAATTGATCGGGATGCTTGATTGATGGTAACCTCTTACCATCTCCTTATTTGAGAGTAATTCCAGTCTTCCAAAATTCAAGTGCCCATATCGAAGGTGCCACAACCAGGATAAATCTTTATAACAAGATTTAAGATATTTCGCCACATCATTTTGAATGTTTAATAAAAACATTCTATTTTTTGACATTGGCACCGTGGCAATTAAATTATTTTTGGTGTCTCTTATTGAAAGGCTATAATCCTTCATGCGAATATCATAACCTTTCTCCAAGAGTTGACCCAAACTCAAAATATTATTTTTTATATTGGGCACATAGTAAACATTTGAGATAAAATCATGACCTCCGTTTTTCAAACAAATTAATATTTTTCCTATTCCTTGGACTGGAATTTTAGAACCAAATGAGACATTCCCACTTACCGACTCGTCGAGCTCCACAAACATACTCCTTTTTCCACACATGTGGTTGCTCGCTCCGGTGTCGAGGTACAAAGTGTCATCTTGTCTTCCTTCCTCTCCTTTGTAAGCTAAAAGCAAACTTGCTTTGGATTCATCTTTGCTCTCGACGAAATTCACCTTCTCTTCAATGTTAAGCCTTTGGCTTCTACACTCAGAAGCAAAATGTCCAAATTTATGACAATTATAACATTTTGAGGAAGACTTATCGTACCTCGATTTTTGGTTACTCCTTCCTCGACCGTACTCTTTCTTTTCATAATTGGTATAGCCACCTCGTCCGCGTCCTCGGCCTCGACCTTGTCCTTGGCCACGACCTCTCCAATATTGACCACGGTTGTTGCTCGGCCCTTAGTCCTTTTCTTTCAAGATCACTTGCATTTTAAAAAGTTGTTCTACAATATCTTGCTTTTTTTATGTTTTTATTCTTAAGCTTGTAATGAGCCCATTAGCATATATATCGACATCTCCTCCAAGTTTTTTGTTTCTTCAATTGTTATAACAATATGCTCGAATTTTGGAGTTAATGAGCGTAATATTTTTTCCATTATTCTAACATCCTCCAATTTTTCACCATTTCTTTTCATTTGATTTGATACCGCCAATACTCTAGTAAAATAATCCGATATAGATTCGGATTCCTTCATATTAAGGGATTCAAATTCACCTCGCAAAGTTTGGAGACGTACCTTCTTTACTTGCTCGACGCCTTTGCACGAGACTTGTAACTTATTCCAAGCTTCTTTTGAGGTGGATGTGCTCGAGATCTTCTCGAAATCGGCATCTCCTAATGCTTGGTAGATAAGGAAGAGAGCCTTCTTATCCCTCTTCCTTGAATCCCTTAGCCTTTCCTTTTGTTGTTGGGATAGGGTTGCTTCATCTGGCGGTCCCTCGTACCCGTTCTCTACAATCTCCCACACATCATGAGCTCCTAGTAGAGCCTTCATTTTAATACTCCAATTATCGAAGTTGCTCTTGTTGAGAATCGGGACTTGAAAGGATTGTAGATTGTTCGCCATTAGGGAATGAACTTGGCTCTGGTACCACTTTGTTGGAATATGTATATATTGTGTATGTGGTGTTGAGTAAAGTGAGTAGTGTGAAGATGGCTAGACTAAGATTTTATTGGAAGGAGGTAGAAACTTTTTGTTTCTCATCTCATCAATTCACTTTACATCACACATGGGGTATTTATAGGCAAACTTGGAGGAAGGTGGAAGTTTCTAGTCTATGTCACATAATTCATTTTCCTAGATTTTTCTACACAAATCTATTCTACATAATTCTACACATGCCATAATATCTTTTCTTAGATTATTCTACATAAATGTAATCTACCATATTCTAAATAATTCTTTAAGTACAATATTATAATTTATAAATCAAGTTTAATTTTCAACAGAAAACTGCCCGAGAAACTATGATAGGTTTGATCGTTTGTAATATTATAAGTATGTGTTTTTATATAAGAAATGTTTAATATATATACTATTTAACAATTATCATCAGGTAGACTTATATAAGTTTAAAGAATGCTATTTTGCAATAAAACTATAACTATCTAACTAATAGAACGTAAAATTGGGATTATTTTGATGGTCTTCAACGATTAAATGACTAATTAGTTGGGCAAAATCAAATTCATTGTTGGATATGTATATATATATATATATATATATATATATATATATATATATATATACAATAATGCTCTCCTACTCACGGTGGACACATGTTAATATGTCCACTGCTTATGTGGCAAACACACATTGGTGATGTTAATATGTTAAAAAAAATACATCACTAATGTGTACAAACCCTATCCATCCATGGCCAACCCACGATGATCGGGCCTTCATCGAGATCTACTCCATCAGCCAGAAAGAGTGCCACATGAACCTGATGCCCGATTTGATCACATGTGCGATCAAATTCTTCTTACCAAAAATCGTATGAGTATGGGAGTACAACACAAGTTCTTCTGACCAAACACATATAGTACAGGTTGGAAAAAATATTTACCCATAAATTTATTATCATTTTAAGTACGTAGATATCATTGCCGAAGTGTATGGTGAAATTCGACCGGGATGGTCACAAAATGATTAAGATTAAGGCATATTTACAAAAAACTTGGGGTAACAATTTAATCACTGTGGATTTGGCCAATTAGAGGCAGTTTTGAAATATTGGGATAAATATGAATTTTCTTGTCTGCAACCTTCAGCACATATGATAGTTAGTTTATCATGTTAGCATATGCGATATTGGTGGTTATTTTTGTTTGTTTAACATAATGGTGCTAAATAATTTACAAGCTCATGGCTGTAAAAATCTCATGATTTAGTGAACACATCTTGTTCACAAATGCGAATATTAAAATAGTAGACATTAATTGATACACACACAATAGTTGAATTTATTTGAAATTTCTTAAAATAAAAATAAATAAAAAACTATTAGAGTCCCCTCTAAGCAATACTGAATACCGTTGAGTCCATCCATGAGACTGCACAAGTATGGACAAGATATGTGGCGAACAACTACCCAAAAGAGTGATTAACTTAATATAAACAAGAATAAGAGAAAGCCCTTCAAAGAAAAAAATGAAAATATAATAATGTTTGTTAGTTACCTCATTGTACCAGATGCAATTCAGAGATTCAATTTCATTTCCTAACATAGTCATGAAGCAGGTAAATAGAACTAATAATGAGAATATTGTAAATAGAACTAATAACGTTGCGTTGCATACTGAGAAGCTTTTCAAAAATTAAAGTAATATTAAGAAGTCCGTTTCTATTTTATTATTTATTTGTATTTTTTTATTTTTAAATTATTATGTAAATTGTTGTTCTACCTTTTTTGAACACATAGTTTTTTTTTTTTTTTTTTTTTT